TCCCTAACTTTTCCTTGGACCATCCTCTCGGGTTTTAAGTCCACCGGGACATCATTTTTTGCCCAAGCCGCCTTTTCAAGTTTTTGACTTGTCGGATGTAGAATTTATATATATATATATATATATATATATATATATATATATATATATATATATATATATATATATATATATATATATATATATATATATATATATATATATATATATATATATATATATATATATATATATATATATATATATATATATATATATATATATATATATATATATATATATATATATATATCCCTAATTTTTTTCCGAATCCTTTTGGTTTGTCGGGATGCCCTTATTTTTGCCTAGGCCTGTCAACCTAGCGGGTCTCTTTTATGCGTAGTATTTTTTTACTATGTTTGGGTTCACATGGTGTGCAAAATCTTCACCGTCCATGGTGGTAAGTATCATAGCACCGCCACAAATTATCTTTTTGATCACAAATGGCCCTTCGTATGTGAGAGTCCATTTGCCCCTAGGATCACCTTGTGGTAGGATGATGCGCTTTATCACCAAATCACTAGCCTGGTACACCTGATGTTTGACTTTCTTGATAAAGGCCTTGATCATGTGTTTCTGATACACCTGACCATGGAAAACAACCGCAAGCCTTTTTTCATCAGTCAAATTTATATGGTCAAGTCGAGTCTGAATCCATTTGTTTTCATCTAAACCTGCGTCTTTCATAATCCTTAGGGAAGGAATCTGGACTTCAATAGGTAAGACAAACTCCATACCGTAGACTAGAGAGAATGGGGTTGCCCCAATTGATGTATGTACTGAAGTGAGATAACCATGAAGAGAAAATGGTAGCATCTCATGCCATTCTTTGTATGTCATTATCATCTTCTGTAATATCTTCTTGATATTCTTATTGGCGGCTTCCACTGTGCAATTCATCTTTGGCCAGTACAGAGAAGAATTATGATGCTTAATCTTGAACTGCATACAGAGCTACATGATCATAATATTGATAAGATTGGTACTGTTATCCGCGATGATCCTTTCGGGGATTCCATACAGGCAGATAAGTTTATGCTTAATGAACTGAGCCACAACATTCTTGGTAACAGAAGCAAACAAGGTTGCCTCTACCCATTTTGTGAAGTAATCAATAGCAACAAGGATGAAGCGATGCCTATTGGGAGCAATAGGCTTAATATCTCTAATCATATAAATTCCCCACATTGCATACGGCCAGGGAATAGTCAAAACATTCAAAGGAACTGGAGGCACATGTACTTTGTCAGCATAAATCTGGCATTTGTAGCAAGTTCTGGAATGATGATGGAAATCAGTTTCCATGGTAGACCAATAATAACCTGCTCTCAGAATATTCTTAGTCATTGTATGTCCATTAGAGTGAGTACCAAAGATGCCTTCGTGCATATCTTCCATAATTTGTTTAGCTTCCTTCTTGTATACACAACGAAGCAAAGTCGAATCGTGGTTGCACTTGTAAAGGATTCCGATACTCAGAAAGAACTTGGCAGAGAACCTCCTTAGAAATTTCTTATCATTGATAGATGCTCCTTCAGGATATTCCTGAGTTTCTAGGTATCTTTTTACTTCTTGGTACCAAGGCTTTTCCTCTACTCCATCAGTATCAACTTCGTAGCAATGCGCCGATTCGTCTAGTATCTCAATAGTAATTCGAGGAGCTTCATTATACTATCTGACTTTGAACATAGATGACATGGTAGCTAGTGCATTTTCCAATTGATTCTCTTCTCGTGGAATGTGTTCAAAAGTGATTTCTTCAAAGTACATGATTAATGCCAACACATGCTCTCGATAAGGAATGAGATTTGGATGCTTCGTGTCCTATTCTCCTTTAATTTGACTAATCACTAGGGCTGAGTCCCCGTATACATTTAATAATTTAATTCTCATATCAATGGAAGCTTTGATATCCATGACGCGTGCTTCATACTCGGTCATATTGTTGGTACAATCAAAACACAATCTGGCGGTGAAGGGCGTATAACAACCCTTAGGAGAGATAATCACATCACCAATTCCATTATCGAGCGTGTTGGAAGCTCCATCGAAAACCATAATCCATCAGGATATCGTTTCAGGTCCTTTATATGGTCCAGGTTCTTCATAATCAGTAACTAACATGATGTTCTCATCTGGGAACTCAAAATTCATAGACTGATAGTCATCTACAGCTTGATGAGCCAATGATCTGATAGTACACTCCCTTTGATTGCCTTCTGAGTAGTGTACTGAATGTCGTATTCCGTCAAGACCATTTGCCATCTTGTTATTCTTCCAAAGAGAGCGGGTTTCTCGAATATGTATTTTATTGGATCCATCTTAGAGATTAATAAAATAGTATGAGTCAACATATACTGTCTTAGTCGGTGAGCAGCTCATGCCAAAGCGCAACAAGTTTTCTGAAGCAGTGAGTATCTTGTTTCACAGTCGGTAAATTTTTTGCTAAGGTAGTATATTGCATGCTCTTTTCGAACAGACTCGTCATGTTGCCCCAATACACACCCCCATTTAGTTCTCTAATACTCTCAAGTACATGATCAAAGGTCTTCCTTCAACTGGTGGCATCATAATTGGAGGTTCCTTGAGGTACTCCTTGATTTTGTTGAAGGCTATATGACAATCATCGTTCCACTTCACTACTTGATCTTTCTCCAGTAACTTGAAGATTGGCTCACAAGTAGTGGTTAAATGGGAAATAAATCTGGAAATGTAGTTTAATCGTCCCAAGAAACCTCTTACTTCCTTTTTAGTATGGGGAGCTGGAATTTCTTAAATGGCTTTAACCTTGGCAGGATCAACTTTAATACCTTTACAACTGACGATGAAACATAAGAGTTTACCGGATCTTACCCCAAAGGTGCACTTGTTTGGATTCAACCTGAACTTGTACTTCTTCAGTCTCTCAAACAGCCTGTGCAGGTGGTCGATATATTCTTCTTCAATTTGAGACTTGACTATCATGTCATCAACGTAAACCTTTATCTCATGATGGATCATATCATGGAACAAAGCTACCATAGCACACTGATATGTTGCACAGACGTTCTTCAAACCAAAAGGAATAAATTTGTAACATAAAGTACCCCACAGTGTGAAAAAAGTGGTCTTCTCCATGTCTTCAAGTGCTATCTTGATTTAATTATAACCAGAGAAACCATCCATGAAGGAAAATACTTTATGATGCGCGGTGATGTCAACCAGAACATCAATATGCGGAAGCGGAAAGTCATCTTTGGGGCTTGCCCTATTCAAATCCCTGTAGTCTATACACATATGCACCTTACCATCCTTTTTAGGTACTGACAGCACATTTGTATCCCACTGAGGATAGGACGTAACAACTAAGAAACCTGAATTGAACGTCTTCATGACTTCAGCTTTGATCTTTTCAGACATCTCAGAGCGCATACGATGAACCTTCTGCTTTATAGGAGGGTAACCTGCTTTCATTGGTAGACGCTAAACCACAATGTTAGTATCAAGCCCTGGCATGTCTTCATAAGATCTCCACATAGTCGCGTAACATCTAGATTAACCTCTTTTTGACACCTTCTAGGTTGGCCCCTATCTTGATTTCTTTCTTGTCCTCTTCAGTACCCAAGTTCACAACCTCGACCGACTCTTCATGTGGTTGTATGGCTCTTTCTTCCTTCTCTATCAGTCCAACAAGCTCTCCAGGTACTTCACAATCTTCCTCACCTTCGTCATCGGCTTGGTAGATCAGATTTTCGAAGTCATAATTGGCAATAGCAGAATTGTTATCAATTGAACCCAGAGTGGATGTGGATATGCAATTTGTTATGTGGATGTGTGTAAGAACACATAGCTATTTTGAAAGCAATAAATTAAAATAAAGACAAAGAGCGCAAAATTTGAATGCAAATGTCCAATAATTTATTGAATGAAAATATGTGGATGAAAAATGACAACCCTAATAACTGGACCGTTATGCCTCGGATAAGGCACAAGGCTTAAAGTTATTGTTCAAATTACATAACCAAAAGAAAGAAAACAGAAAATAGCATTTACTCCTGACTAAAGGAGATTGGTATAAAGTCTTCATCCTTCCAATTGTTGAGCCCAGTTCCGGTAGTATGGAAGATCCAACTGTCTATGTCACAGTCACTATCAGCGTCTTCCACATCGTTGACTTGATTTTTGTGAACTCCATTGTTGTTGATGCGGAATGACGGTCTCCCAGAATTAGCACAAGCACAACGTACAACCCTCTAAGCCTCTGAGGTGAAACCAAAACCAAACTTGTCAGACTTGTAAGGAATGTCGGGAAGTTGACCCCAAATAGTGCCACCACCTTCTTCTACCACAACTTTAGTGTCCTTTAGAGAAGCCATTTTTGGTGGAGTCCTGAGAACTTTAGAAATAGTAGGAGCAACTTTATCAATAGGGGTTGTCTGAGGGATAACTTCAAAGGTATGGCAAGGAGTCTCGAAAAATTCACCATCCATTTCAACATACCTGAAGGAGTTCATATGGCTCACAATGTATTCTTCTTTGCCACAAACTGTAATGATTTTTCCTTTCACGGGATACTTCAACTTTTGGTGTAAAGTAGAAGTAACAGCGCCTGCCCCATGAATCCAAGGGCATCCAAGCAAACAAGAATAGGCTGGATGAATGTCCATCACATAGAAAGTAGAGTCAAAGACCTGGGAACCCACTTTGATTGGAAGTTCAACCTCTCCATGCACCATACTCTTTGAACCATCAAAAGCTCTCACCACAACGTCATTGGGTTTTAGCATAATCCATTCACAATCAAGTTTGTCTAAAACATATTTTGGCAATACATTCAACGAGGAACCTGTGTCCACAAACACATGAGATAAGGTAGTGCCCCTACATTTAATAGAGACATGAAAGGCCTTGTTATGGTTCCTTCCTACAGGAGTTAAATCATCATTTTCCTGCTTGCTTCCCATGACAAGATTCCATATTTTTCAAACATTTTCCTCACTTTGTTCCTTGCAACCAAATCCAAGCACTTCACCATTTAAAACCGTGAACCTGCATAACCGATATCATGCATTCATAAAACAGTTGGCCTGCAGGAAATTGAGAAAGGACTAAGTCAGAAAATATAACTCATCCTACTGTTTAACAGAAAAAATAGCATAATAGAATTTTCCAGCTCAGTATGTCAGAAGAAACGGAATTAACAGTCAGTTAACTAACCCTGTAACCAATCCATAATTGTTTTTCTAACCTATAACCAACTTCCCTAACTAATTCCTAATAGTCCAACTCACTCCTAGCTATTTTATCAAAACTCATTCAACAAACTTCTAAACAGAACTATAAACAAACCTATAGTAGATAACAGAACGGAGGCAGAGAGGAGAATTCAGTTACAGAAAACTCAGAAAATTACCTCCACTTTCTCTCCTCCAATCTTCGCCAGAATCTTCAATCTTATTTTCACTCTCTTTTTTCCACATTTAACCTTCAACTTTACACCTTTAACCTTCTCTTCACTCTCTCTGAATAAAACTCTATGAATCTGTTCAACCTTCTGCTACCTGCTTTTGTCATCATTTTGAATCCGCAATTCCAATCTCTGCAAAAAAACATCAGAACTGCTTCACTTTCTTCAATCATTAACACATCATCAGTATCATCTTCAATCCTCTACAAGCCTCGTCATCTTCTGAATCAACAAAGCAACCGCATCATATCTGTCATCATTATTCTTGTTCTGCTTCAAAACTGCAAGAACAACAACTCTTTGGTTCGCTCATCAACGCGCATGCATCGTAACGACAACAAACAGTAACAACACGCAACAATTTCCAATCACACGCACAGAAACACAGAGAATCCGAAAATTTATAAGAAAGGAGAAGAATAATGAAGGAAAGGTGTGTGTATTCAGAATAATAGGAAGTGCATACCTGAGGTCTTTGAATCTTATTGATCACCGCCTTCCTCAGCTTCTCCTCCGACGGTATTGGTAATTTTCTAGATCCTTTTATCTTCTCTTCTTCGTGTTCAAAGCGACTAGTCATACTTTATGGCTCACAAAGGAGAACCTCGATGATTTCTTATGTTAATCTTGCATCATCACCATGAAATTTAAGATTTCAACCCCTAGGGTTTTTCAAGGCGGGCTTCAATATTGCTAATTGATGAGGTTTTTGGTAAAATATAATGTCGAATTAGTGTTTTTGTGATTCATCTGTTAGCGATTGGGGAAGATCCAACAGCGACGGGGCCTCCGACGGCAGAGAAAAAGTGAGTGAAAGATGAGAAACCGGAGACGAGTCAGTTGATGGTGCGGTTTCGTGTGATGGAGAAACAAAGAAGAAATCTCTTCGCGAAGATGAATAGTCACAAAGTTTGTGAACCCTGTTCTCTCAAGCTAAATACACTGCATCCTCACCATTTTCTATTTTGATCGTAAAAAGTGCAAATACAATTGGTGGAAGCTGCATAGTTGGGTGGACCAAATTCATCTTGTCCTTAGCCCAAAGAGAGATTTTTTTTGGTGGTCCCTGGTGTGTATAACCAAAAATGCTTAATGAACCTTGCTTCTAATGGGCCTAGCATCCCTTACTTCTGAAAGACCCCATGAATTCAACTTTGCATCATGTTGAACCCTCATTTTATATGCTTAATGCAACTTAATTTTATTTTTGTCGTGATTGGTTTTTTTAAGTGATTGGGCAATAATTGTTGAAGAGCTTCAAGAGGTTCTGAAGTTAACTAAGAGCATAATTTTCATCAAGGGAATTCAAGGAAGTTTTTTTAGTGGAGTTTTCTTATGGCTTACATGGTTTCGAAGAGGCACGGACCTTCTCCATTTGGTATCATCACAATTTCATTTTATTCCCCACTTCCGCATTTTATCGTACTTCGTTACCCGCTTTTCTTGATATCATGAGAAGTAGGGGCTTTACTGCTTTCTGATGCCATGAGAAGTAGGATAAAGATGTACGGCAAGGGTCTCCATTGCTGATCATGTCAGGAACCCCTCTAGTTTATTTAAAGACCCATTTAGGGAAATTCCGCATTGATTTCCATTGTGTGCTACTTATGTGTGGTTTGTTTAAAACCCTACCTTTGAGTAGGTATTCTGCAGGTATGTTTACGTTTTGTGCCTACATTATTCCCCCATCCCTTATTGAAATCCTCAAAAGTAGGCGAGCAGGGAGGGTTAGCAATCAACCCTCACAATTTTGTATGTGTCATCCTTAGCTCGTGACGCACCATGATGCTTCGTAGTTGTGCCTGTTCTTGTATATAGAGTCATCAAGTGGGGAAGGGTTCCGCAATCGAACCCCCACGCCCTGTCAGGAGTTCGCATTGGCAGATGTTGATACTCTGTGATCATTCATATTGCCTTTTGTCGCCTACCTCCATCTCTTATATCTTGGTTAAGTGTTCAGTCGCTTTGGACATCACTTTTTGTTTTTTCATCTCACTCCCGCTTGTTTGTCTTGGTTGATACGCTCCCCTTCGCTAAAGCATTTCTCTTCTTTTCCTTATTCTTTTATGCATGTGCTTTTTCAAGCTTGCTTGCTTTATCCTTGTACATACCATGTTCCCTTAGGATATGTTTGCTCCTTTCAGATGCAAGTTAGACCTTAATTTGCAAGCCATGCATGCTAACATTAGGTATTCGTTTCCCTTTCATCCTTGACGTAGGACCACCATTGTATGATAACACTAGGTTTAGAAATAGGATAGTCTCCCTTACACTCTTTTCTCCCCTTTTTCATTGTATTTAAAACTAAAACTCATTTTCTTAGCAAATCATAAAACATGCTAATAACACTTAAACCCTTTTTTAAGGTAACAAAGATACAAACCAACTCAAACCTTTTATGCGTCCAAGCACCTTTTCTCAGAAAACCATTTTCAGGTAAGTACATGATTAATTTACTTTTTTGCCAACACATAAGTCTCCAAAGGTCGAGTTGCGGCAAAAGGCAGAATCAACATTGTCCATAAAAAACATAAAACAAACAAAAACATGTGAGCCGAACTACGATAGCTCTGATTCCTCAAAAAGGATACGTAGGCATTGGGGTAGGGCCCAAGAGAGTACAACTTTATTTTCCCTACATTCCTTTCTCCTTTCTTTTGCATGCATTTCTTCTCAGTAGTAAACAGTGAGCATAGATTAAACACACCCATAATATATATATATAACAGGAGTGGATACCATAAAGTACTACAGGCGCGTGGGGTGCTAATACCTTCCCCTCGCATAACAAACTCCCTTACCCAATCTCTCGGTCGCAATACCGTGACTTCTCCCTTCTCAGGTTTTCTCAAGGTTTACCTTTCCCTTCATATGGGATAAAAAATGTTCGATGGCGACTTCATTGATTTCATTATCAGTTGATTGTTCAGCCAGTTGTTTCAGCTGGCAACTTCACTGGGGACAGGTCGACCAAATTTTGGTCCATCCCAGAGTCACTCCTAGATCTTGTTTCCTTTATTTGGGTGTTTATTTTTTGCTTTCAGTTTATTCATTCATTTTGTATATACCTGAGCATATGTATGCATTGCACTTTACTATTTTCCATATACTACTGTTGTACTGGATCTGCTTCTTGATTGGGTTGGGATGTTACTATTGAGGTAAAAGGCCAAGTAGCCAGGCCTGAGTGCAGTAGGACACTAGGAATAGGGTGGAACATGAACGGCTAGTTGACGTAGGTTTTACTATTGTCGCCATGTCGTCCATGCTCAGATGAGGTATAAATAAGGGGCTATCATTTTTACGTAGGTGATACGACAATAGTTTTTTCAGGAGTACCCTCGATTCTGAGTTACCTGGTCTAGTCTTCACCCGTGAGTGGGGAGGGAATATTTTACCACAGGTACAGATGGTTACTCATGTTCAGACAATGACTATGATCAGACAGTGACTATTGGTTCTAATGGGTATGTTCTAGATTTCTGTCGGTGACTTATTCAGATGATATATTCTGTTGGTGACCGTATGGTTCTCAGATTTATTTTCTGAGTCCCTAACTTTTTTATTTGGAGTTTCATTCGAGCCTTCAATCTTGGTATTCCCACCATGTTTAGAAAAGGCTCAACAACATCTGGTTCCAGAAGCCTTGATCCCTTACAGTCGATGATCCACATGGTACTTGGTTCTTATATGTGCAGAAGCTATGTCGGACCTCTGATCTGATAATATTCATATGGTTCAAAAACAATGCAGCAATCATATTCATAAGTGGTGGAACTTTGATCCCATGTCTTTGCATGCATAACATGATTAACCACATGCTTAACATACATGTTCTGTTATTTCCAAAGAATCATATTTGTAAGTCTTGTGTTGAACTTTCCCATCCCTTACCTACATAAAATCAAATCAAAGCACGTAAACTCCTTGGAAATGATGGAACATGGCATCCATTTATGCACCCCATACGTATTTATGCATCCATAACAGGTATTTGAAGATTGGGGATTCTTATTCAGACCTGGTAGTCTCTTCAGAGGTTCAAACTTAATTTCTTGCTTCACATGTTCGGAGATCAGTATGGGATAACTCTATGGGGGATTGACGGATGCGAAGATCCCGATAGGGTTGATCATGGTACATATGCAAGCTTTGGCCTATGGTCGGGAATTCTTCGAGAAGGAAGATAATCTATTGAAGACTCAGATGAGCCAAATCATGAAAGCTCTGATAATGATGTCAACAATCTTGAACTTACTACTACAACAGAGGTTCTCTCTTCTCCCCATCTTCTGGGAATTGCTTTCAATCGTGGAACACTACATAATATTGAGTTCTTAGAACATATTATCAACATATGGTTCCTATTTACTGTGGGATCTTATATTAGTGCTTCGTTCTTGTTGACCAACGTCAGATGTGGTTGCCATACCGGGGTATCTGACTATTCAATCAGGGGAACTCTCCACAACTCCGTGTTCACTGATTTGTTCGATAGCGGTATGTCTTTGTTCCCCTAGTGAATTCATTGGGCTAGGATTTTAAGCAAAGACAGAAGAAGCCTGATGATCATGTTGATGTGATCCTAATGCATTACATTCTATTATTTCCAGATCTAATCTTTGGGGTCCTCCTCCCACAAACATCTCTTTTGATTGTGATGCACATGCTAGATGAATCCCATATTCTGGGGCACCCAGTTTCGATGTAGAAGATTGTAGAGGGGTTAAAGTATAGAGTCCAACACATGTCTGGCGTCTCTTCCAAAAGTCCATTTCCTATTTTCCAACTGTTGGACTCTTTTTCACCAGATGGATGTTTCTGTTGTTCTGATAGAAGACGAATTGTATTGTCTCTTTGTGGCATAATATGCTTGGTGATGCACTTTATACCAATTCACTTGGTAAAGAATTCATTCTTACTCCTAAAAGAATCTTCTATGCGTATTATACTGGGGCACCTGGCTATTCGATTAAAGATAGTATGTCATCCAGAGACAAGGTCTGAGACAGGGTCAATCCAGAGATTGTTCTGTTCACAATCAGATCATAAGGGGAATTCTCTCGCCCACTCAAGCATCAAGACTGCAGAAATTCGTCAGAATCAAGAAATTCATACAGAGTCAAGTCTCCTCAACGATGGCAATCATTGGTTTCATTACTCCATTTTCATTTGCATTCTTGATTGTTTGTTTAAACATTGCTTGCATGTAGAAACTTGTCTATTTTTGAATGAAAATCTTAATGCAATAAATTTGCTTGTCTTGAAGTGTTCCTTTCATTTTTATTCATCCATTTTTTATCACTCTTTAAATGTTTTACTTGCATATTAATGTACCCCAAAATTTTCCCTCTCATTTTACTCAATAAATACTCCTAAAGGTCCTCAATTTGCTCAAGTTTGCCCAAGAGTTGACCAGACAAACTCTCTCCTAAGGCAATGTGTCTCAAATTAGGGTTTCCACTTTCATCAAGATGTGTGGATCACAAAGGCCCCAAATGCTTTCCAAGGTCCTAATATGTTCCCAAGATTCTCCATGTCAAATTTCAAGCCTTGCACAAGAAGTTTGCTCAGTCAACT